AAGGTTTTCGGTTATCACGTCCTGAAAGTCACAAAGCAGAGACTGTGTGGACGTCAGTATCTCAACCTTCTCGTCAGTTCCCACTAACAGGACTAAATGCATTGCCACTGGAGCCTTTCATACTGCCCGCATGAAGGTGGCTCTTGGGACTACCGTTTGCTCTGTGAAATCCACTCCTCTCGCGTCTTTAACGAGCAAAATAACTGTGTTTTCTCCTTCTTAAATGAATAAGTGTTGTGAACCCATAGTGTTGGGTCTTGCAGTTGAACTGTTATACCTCCCCAACAAAATATGACCAGCATACATAGATACAACGTCACACCGCACCTCCTTCTATAGCTAATCTCCGATAAAAAATACAACCAAGTGCTGTTGATTCACGTGTATCGCCTTTGTCCTTTTCAACCAAGGGAATAGAATTGAGGATGCTTCTATGTGGCCAACCTTAATTTTTTCACCATCAGAGTAGATACTACATTCTCACAGCTCCCAAGGTCGATAATCAGACTGCAGACCTTTCCTTTCACTATGCACTTGGTGCGAAAAAAACTATACCTCAGCCATAGATGATCCCTCTCCGGTTTAGTCTGTAACACTCTCCTTATAACTAGCATCTCTACCTTGTCTCCCTAGAGCTGAAGTTCCTCCTCCGGATCCTCCTTTGCTTCCGCTTCCTCTACTACTTTAATGACGCCCTACTCTATGAACGAAACAATTTGGCTCGTGGGACAGCTGGAGGCTAAGTGTTTGTAGCTGTGGCATCTAAAACATCTTCTAACTGGTAACGTACTTAGTGAATTATCATTTTCGGATTTCTTCCACTCAGATATGTCTTGTCACTTCCCTATCCGATCTTCCCAACCCCTCCAAGTGCACCTCAGTTGTTAGCTGCAACTGTAGGCGTTGTTTGAAGGAAGGTTGTTGTCTACTTTGTTTTTTACGTCTTTTCACCTTCAAAGCTAAGGTCTGGACATCCCTAGTGACCAATAGAGTTGCAGTTGCAAAATATTGTTGATAGCAGGTTTCAAGCCCCACATATATCACTCTATGGGATGTTCACCGGGCACGACCAACTCACACTTGACCTGCAATTGGTCAAATCGTGTCATTAAGTCTTCCACTAATAGGTCCCTCTGCTGCAAGCGGAGTCTCATAAATATATCCTGGCGGTAATGAAGCGGAGGTACTTTCTCTACATCTCTTTCCTCATCTTCTCCCACCTGGAAATCTTATCACTATCATCTGTCTTTCTTTGCCTCTACAAATTCTCCCACAAAAATGAGGCACTCTTTTTCAATTAGATGGTCGCAAACTTTACTCTCTTATCTTCTTGCACTTTTTTGCACTTGAAAATTCTCTCAACTAATTGTAATCATTTGATGAAATCGTCAGGATCCATACCCCCAATCGAACTCTGGTAGATCCACTTTTATTCTGAAATCGTTTTGTCCTTCATGAGTTGTATTCAAACCCGGCCTCCTACGATAATAAATTTTGAAGTCCTCTCTAGAAGGGATTCAGACCCTCGTCCATTCCTCCCCTTCGACTCTCCATATCTCGATCTATAATAATCCCAAATCTCTGCAAGTTTGTAGAAGTTGAAGGATCTCTCACGGTATCTCTTCCCAGATAGATTCTGGTACGTGTCCTTTGGCGGCATAGTTAGGGTTTCGGGATTGGAAGAGGGTATTTGAGGACAGAAAAAAAAATTTGTGGAGTTCACTTGGGTATGGCGGATTCTAGGAAATTTTAAGATAAGAATAGAGTTATGCTAGCACTATTACCAATTGATATCGGAGTTAAAACAAATTGTAATAGAATTAAAATATTATTATTATAATTCAAAAGAGTTGCAAGCAAAGACTCTTAAAAGATACAAAAACGACAACACAAACACAAGCAACACTCTTGGGGAGAGGACAAAGTGGTGGGTTGTAGGATGATGGAATCATGGAGTTGTGGGCGAGGAGGAAGGTTTAGCAGCAGCAAGGTCGAAGTAAGAGTGTTGTTGGACAACAAGTAGGGAAGGGGTAACTAGTAGGTTGAATGTGTGGAAGGTACAGTAGCAAGCCTGAAATGAATAGGAGAACCGGCAGTACATGGCCAATTGTGAGGGAGGTGTCGCAGCAAGTTTGGAAGTGAAAGAAGCAGTAGCAGCAGCTATGGTGTGTTAGTGGTTTGAATGTGGGGAAGGTACATAAGCAGTCATGAAAAGAATAGGAGAACCGACAGTACATGGCCAATTGTGAGGGAGGTGTCGCAGCAAGTTTGGAAGTGAAAGAAGCAGTAGCAGCAGCTATGGTGTGCAGAGTGTACAACAGAGAGTAAGCAAGGAAAAGCCACGGAGATATGCAAAGGTAATCACCACCTTGGAGTAGGATATAGTCGTAGCACTGTCTGTCTTCGAATACAGTCCTAGTCAGTAGCAGCAGCTATGGTGTGCAGAGTGTACAACAAAGAGTAAGCAAGGAATAGCGACGGAGATATGCAAAGGTAATCACCACCTTGTAGTAGGATATAGTCGTAGCACTGTCTGTCCTCGAATACAGTCCTAGTAAGGGAAGATGGTGCATAACTATATATAGTAGTAAATAACTATGAGAGGTAAGACTCCTCTCCTTAGGCGAAAACCCCAGGGTCGGCAACCCTAAACCAGTTAAGGGTCGGACAACCCCCTGCACTTTTCATCTGAACTGGTTCATGTGTATGGTCGGTTCAGCCCAGGATTCGCGCGTCATGCACAAAACAAAGGCATTGTCTTAAGAATATGGGAGCAACAGATCAAAAATTGATGCGAGTTAAGTAAACAGACAAATTAGATATTAGTAGCAAGCAAAATTAATTTCTCTATTGGTTCAAAACTTTTCACTCCGAAAAACATAATTTTAAAACAACAAAAACACAATTTCTGTGTTTTTGATGTTTTAAAAAATAAGTCTTATTTATTTTAAAAATAAAATTAAAAATGAATAAACAAACACAATTTTTTTGTTTGTTTTTTTTTTTTTTTTCAAAAATAAAAACAGAAAAAACAAAAAGTGATCTAATACAAGACCTAAACACAGGTAATATTCCGAAAAACATGTTTTTAAAATAGTAAAAACGCAATTTTTGTGTTTTGGATGTTTTAAAAAGCAAGCCTTATTATTTTAAAAATAAAATTAAAAAAATAAAAAACAAAAAACAAACACTATTTTGGGTTTATTTTCTGCTTTTTGTTTTCAAAAATAAAAAATAGAAAACAACAAATAACCCCAAACAGGTCCTAAGCAAGTCAAGATTTTTATTATTAGGTAAGTCCTTCATTTTTTTTCCTCTTTTGGCAGAACAATCAGTAAAAACTGTAATATCCCAAGCTTTAAGAGGCTGTTGGTTTAGCTTTATTTGGAATGCATGTGAAGCAAACTTCAGCAAAGCAAAAACGCCAATGTAGTTGCAGTTACTTCCAAATAAATTTATGGAAGTAGACTTGCTTTACTTCTTCAAACTTGAAGCTAAATACAGAAAAAGCACTTAGCATGCAAATATTTTATATAATGTTTTCACGAAAAGATAAAATATAAATAAAAATAGTTGGTGATGGAATAATAATGTGCAAGAAAAGATAAAATATAAGAAGTTATGTTATAAAAATTGGTCTACATGTGAAAGCTTAGAGAACTGAAAAAAATATCAAACGGCCCCCAGGGAGGCTAAAAGAACAATTTTTTATGCTAAAAATTATGTTTTTAATGATCTTTATAATAGATTAGATACTAAGGTGGGTGATAAATATATGTACAAACTAGCCAAACAAAGAGAAAAGAAAAGTAAAGATTTAACTCAAGTAAAGTGTATTAAATATGAAAAGCAAGAAGTATTTTTCTTAGAAAAAGATATTTAACAAAGGTGGGTGAGTTATTTTGATAAAGTTTTTAATGAAGTTTCGGAAAATACGATCGATCTTAGTAATCTTAATATAGGTGATAATAATAAAACGTTTCATTTTTACCATCGCATTACTAAAAGAGAAGTTGATAAGGCTTTAAAGAAAATCAAGGGTGGGAAGTCTGTAGGATCTGATGATATCATAATTGAAATATGGAAGTATTTAGGAGATTTCGATTTTTTTGGCTTACTAAACTCTTTAATATTATTTTAAAAACTAAAAATATGCCTGAGGAGTGGAGGAAGAGTATTTTGGTCCCCATTTTTAAGAATAAAGGGGATGCACAAAAGTGTGCAAATTATAGAAGGATTAAGTTGATGTGTCATACTTTAAAATTATGGGAAAGGGTAATTGAACATAGGTTAAGACGTATTACTAAGATTTCTCATAATCAATTTGGATTTATGCACAAGAAACTGAAAGGAAAATTTTATAAAAGGGCGGTGAGACCTGCAATGCTCTATGGCGTTGAATGTTGGCCTTTAAAAGAGAAGCATAATGCTAAGTTACTAAGTTAAGTGTTGCCGAATTAGGTGGATGAGTGGTTTTACACTTAGAGACAAAATGCGAAATGATTATATCCGTGATAGGTTTGATGTAGCTCCTGTGACGGATAAAATTAGAGAAATTCGTCTTAGATGGTTTGTTCACATTAAGCGTGAACCATCTGATGATCCGATTAGGAGAGTAGATGTTTTATAGTTGACTTATGTTAAGAAAGTAAGAGGTAGACCTAGGAAGACTTGGGCTTATTGTATAAAAAATGATCTTAATTTATTAGAACTAAATGAAGATATGGCACTAAATAGGACGCAATGGAGAAAAAAGAATCATGTAGCCGACCCCATGAAGTGGGATTAAGGCTTTCTTTTTGTTGTAATGTTTTCACAAAAAGCAAAGACCCCTTGTTGTCAATACAACATGACTTTCAAATTAGACTGAAATAAACATACAAGAAAAGTTCCCGCACAAGGTTTTCACCAAAAGCAAACATAAATATTGCATAGAAATTATAATCTTAAATTGCCTATAGATTGCTTCTCGAGTGAACTGTAGTCTTACAGTGGATAAATTGATTGAATCTGCACGTCAGCAGGGAATAGCTTAAATTCTTCAGAGAAAATTTGAGCTTGCTTCTCCGCAATAGAATCTAGGAGTTGTACATCCTTCGTTAGCTGTTCATCAACACTGCAAACACATGAACAGAGCCAGACGTTAACCGATATATCCTACACAGCAATAAGATATCAGAATTAGGTACAAAAAGGAAAATAGAAGATTGGTTGGAGTGACATCTAATTGAACCACATATAGGAGATTTGTACAAGCACAAGGAATGGTAAATTATGCACATATTATATGGTTAGATAAAATCAGTGCAAAAGATTAAGATTAAAAAGGATATACCTAAAGTGACATGCATAAAAGTATCCAAAAAATTTCACAAAGATGGTTTAAACACCTCAAGCATTACTCAATATGAATAAATGGAGAATAAAAATTAATAGTCAGCCCCAAATAGTTTATATAAGCTAATGATGATGATAAACTCGCACAAAATAAAGTAATACATTACAAGTCCTTTATAAAGCTAAAAAACCATCAACTTTTTATATTGAAAAGTCATGCCATTAATCTTGAAGGATCCATAACCTCCACTCTGGATTGTCAGAAAAACAACTTGCTTCCACGAGGTCTACAATGAGATGTAGCAATTCAGCACGGTCTTCATAGCTTCCTCTTCCCTAGCAAAAATTAGAAATTAAATATGAGATACTCAAGTAGAAGATATAAATGAATGGTTAATCATCACCAAGCATAACCTAGAGTTTTAAAGTTTTCATATATAGAATTTCACAGGTTTGATTTTCCCGATAGTTGGAAGAAAAATGAGGCAGATACTATCAGCACAAGTCATATTAAAATTTAAACTAAAATTGTCAAAGTAAAGAAGGTTACACGATCAGCTTAGTGGTTTCCTCATCACAAATCACAAATTAATTAGTAAAAGTTGTGTGATCTAGAAAAAAAAACAGCACTTTACATTTTAACCATAATTGGTTACAAAACCAATCTTTTGTTTTCCCTGTTAATGTAAGTGTTAACTAAGCCGCAAGCGTTACTAAACTGTAACATAAATAGAACTTCATAGAGAACAAAGATTTTCGATCATTTAACTATATTACAGAAAGCCCACTCAAGTGCTAGGCCAAGCATCAGTGCCAAGATAAATAATCAATATTTTTAATTAAAACTACAAAAGATGAGTTGCAGAAGCATTTTTGGTAAAAAAAAAAATTACTAAAGTTAAATTATGCTACTGTCCTAAAGGTTCCTTGAGAAACTTGGTACTGACCTGGATGGCTTCGGTATCAATTGTAGGTGTAATTCCCAGGAAGTGAGCTATCTCAGCCAAATCTGCAAATATATGATGTTTCATCTCTAAAGGTTCCTTCAATGCATCATTGATTTTCAAAATTATAGGTGCTTTAAAGCTTCATAGCAATGTATACAAATAAATTCTTCCGTTTCATATATAAAAAAAATAATCAGATACGACAACAGTTTGGAAGATATAACAAAAAACCTGGAACATATCCGTGGAAGATATAACAAAAAACCTGGAGCATATCCGAATTAATTATTGCCCTGAAAATAAAATCATGAGAATCATGTAGCCGACCCCATGTTCATTTGACTATGGAATTAATTATTGCCCTGAAAATAAAATCATGAGAACATACAGTTCCAATCCTAAGATGAGGCTGCTACATTGTTCATTTGACTATATTGATCAATAGTATATTTGGAAGCAACAAAAGCTAAGTGGATTCATGTTAAGTTTCAAACACACGAATAAAAACTGACAAGTTCAGTTAAGTTCTTATCGCCTTCAATTTCGTACTGACTAACTTGCAGTAGGGAATAAAACTGTCCAGAGGGATAATTTTATATTATGTGATATAACTTTCCACACTTGCAAGTATATAAATGTGAATAAAATGTATTATGTACATTTGCGACAAATTATTTTGTCACTCACTGGGTCCATGCAAGTCATGACAAATGCTTATTGAAATTTAGTCTAATTGAACCGTCCGCACGTGTCGCACCGCTATCGACCCAAAAAGGGGTTCAATTAGGGTATGAAAACAAAAACATATCATTTATTGTTAAAAGTGTTATCATTATAATTTGTATTAGAAATTTAAATATTTTATAGGTTTACCAGTCCAGACATTGAAATTATATTACTTGTTACACATTATTTAGATTTTATTCTTTTATGTTCAAAATGAATTGCATTAATAGTCTACCATTACTTTATTGCTGCATAAATTCTTATTTATTCAATATATTCTTGTATTTGTAATGTTTGTTTATGTATGTTATCACAATTTTAGATGGAAATTTTGTATTTGATGTTTATAGATAATTAACATTGGTCATAATACTAACAATATTTTTAGAGTTATTAACTAGTGATAAGAGCAATATGCATGATATTTATGTTAGTATTAAGTTTTTGTTAAAGCCAGTCGGGCCAACAAGTCCTCTATAAAATTATTAGATTTCTACGAGATCTGTTTTTATCTTTTACTTCTTTTAAGATGTAGAAAGTTGACTATATACATACATGCACTTTTATATTCAAAAATTATTATAGTGGCATAAAAAACTGAAGGTTCATGTGTAAATATATGTAAGTATATCTAATATTTTAATCTATTAATGTTAACATAAAAATGCATTATTACAAATTTTATATTTCTGATCATGAGAATAATTATAATTTAGATTATTCTGACCTCTAACACTTATTTACTATTCACTGTTATTATGATCATCAGATGACATTGATTATACTTTATATTGTTTATGCTTTAATAAATAACGGTTAATTATTGATATTAATTTTTTAAATGTATACATTTATATATTCTTATTGCAAGTTCCACCAATGTGTTTGGTGAACTATTAGCACATGATCAGATAAGTCAAGATTAAGTTATTTTTTATATTTCCAATTGATGTATCGGTTAATAATTTTCTCTTGGGTGGGTAGTTGTTAGTTTAATCATTTTTAGTAAGTTTTACATTCTTCCGTCAATTGATTCAATTATTGATTATTATTCAGGAAATGAAATAAAATTTATCATTTCTTACTTTTATTATCCATACTTTAGATATACAAATTTACTTTTTTTTTTATTATCGATGTGTGCTAGAGAATTTGCTGCGGTAGAGTATTTAATTATATTCTTAGTTTTGCACGAGAATATAGCACATACTCAGATAATAAAAGTGAGGGTAAATAAACAAGAAGTTTTTAATACCACGAGGTCTAACCCAGTTGAAATGATAATGAGTTGGTGATTACACGTACAGTCCTTTGTCCCACAAGCGGGAAATATTGCACGATTTCTCAAGTTATAACGATGCAGAAGAGCCCATTACCCCACTATAGGAAGCGGTTGCAGTGAGGAGCAGTTGTTAGGGTTTCAATATACTGCCTTTGAGGTATGTTGTGACATGACATTTAAAATGATGCATTGCTTCATAGAATGTTTCATGACTCCGTAACTTTGGTTATTACTTCGCACAGTACTTCATCACTCTGCAACACAACTCTTGACTCTACATGAAGCTTCGTTGTAATGAATAGAAGGAGGCAAACGGTGGTCGATGGTGACCATTAGGTTGTGATCGATGGTGGTCAACGGCTATAGGAGCGGGAGGTATACGTTGAATCTTCGGTGTAGAGTCGTTGTTAAACTTAAGTTCATTCTTTTCCAAGCTCTGGTCTTCTTTTGGCTTAAAGTATGTCCCCTTTAATTTCCTGAAGAGGGATAGGGCTCTATATATAGAGTTTGGAGATTTCCTTGATCGAAAGACAATTGGCAAATATTTGAATGTCTCAACAATGTAAGACTTGAGCGATATTGGGCTCATTAGATTCGACTCATCGACATGCTCGATTTGACTATAGCTTGTTTGGTTTGGAATCCATTTGACATTCCAATTGAGCATTAAAAGCTTCCAAAATTAGTTTAACAGTTTAATCTGAGCTTGATTTGACTCAGATTAGACCAACTATGGCGTAATTGAGTTTAACTTGTCAAACTGGTAAGTTTAACTATTAAGTTTGCTAAAATTAGAGTTTTGAATGATCTTTAATTAAAGTTTGAACATTTCTTGCTTAAAAAAATTGTCTCAAGCTTTATGTCACGCCTCGAGATCCATTTCGGATGATAAAAATTTGTTGATGGCATATAAGAATAAAATGGGTTTATATATTCCTCCATCACTTCCCATATCACTTTCCACATACAGAACATGATAGTTATTTTGAAGACTATTTAACTTAAAGGATTTTAATGTGAACATTTGAGCCCATAACTATATAATATGAGCCAAAAAAATTACTAAAACAATTGAAGATATTTTAAATTGTTTATTAAGAAAAACATGTTTGAAGAAGTTTATTATGAAATATGCCGACTTAAGGCAGACAGTTGTAAACCCGTATCTCACGATTTTAACGAGGAAAATACGTTGACATATTGGCTCATCAAATGTTTTTTTTTCAAAATAAAGAGATGCAAGAGAAACTCACACTGGATACGAGCAGTTTCCTCGTCACGGTCCATACTGTCCCCTTGCCAATTCTGCTGCGTGAAGGGCGACCTATCCCCCAAAAGCCTGCCATCCACTCACAACCCCCAATTAGAACTTTTCATTTATCCAAAGTGCAAGGGTTGCAAGAATAGAACCCGTAAGGGAATCAAAATATATCACAAAAAAAAAACCATTTGAAACGGTAGAGATGAAGCTTTTAACCTGAAGAAAAGCCATTCCAGGAGAGCATATCTCTCAACGCCGGCGTATAGGAGGGACTGCGAGGGCGCGTTGGCTCTGGGGTACCTAAGCAGAGATAGTTTCCTCTGGATCTCCTCCATCTGCTTCGACGCCATGGAGGAGAGCTGTAGCGCACAAAGCTGCGCCGCTCCCCCTCTTCTAGATCGTTGCAATGCAGATTTGCAGACCTCGACGTGCCGTCGGCCGGCGATGGAGCATGTTGAATTCCTCAATCCGGAGGAGTTGGAGGCACCAAGTAATCGGATTAATAGTTCTAAATTTATTCGAATTTTGGCCTGCACCAAGAACTGATCCAAATAAAGAAGTCCGGTTAGATGAATTTTTTTTTAGCTGATTTAGAGCCAAACCCTACCTTTGCTGAAAAGGTATCTTTAATAGCTCTCTTGATGTTAGGGCTCAAAAATTTAATCATTAAGAAATTGATTAAAATTTTAGATGGATCGAAATAAATGAGCCGAGCTGTGGGCCAAAATTTTGTATTATTTTTTTTTTTTTCGAGTCAATTTGAATAGACCTCCACCCGAGTCGAATCGATAACGACCCTAATTAAGTGTGGCAATTATCAAAAACATTAGGCATGCACAAATTTAAAAAGTTTGTTAAATTGTAAAAAATTTGAGTTTATAAGCCCAAAATAGCAAAAATTGATGAAATATAACATCTCTTTATTGTCTATTGAAATCTGTCAAAAAGTTCCTTCAAAAAAAAAAATTTTATTTTTGAGTTTGAAGTACTTTTTAAAACCATCTATGCTTGATATTTTTTTTGGAAATTTAAAGATCTCCGCCAATTGTATTGCGTTAAAAAAAATGATTACAAAAAATAATATAGTACC